ACAAGGCTGCTGAAATACGCTGCAGTGAGAAACCACAACAGCTCCGTGGAGTCAAGATCAGTGCAGCAGGGCCAGCTAGGAATTCTGTACGCAGCTACCTGGCTATCTGCATTACATTGCCCATTTCCAGTACTTTGTCCAGCAATTCATCACCCTACAGTGCAGAGAGCTGATAATGCGTGTTTGAAGGAAAAGGGAAGATTTAAATACTGATGTTCAAAATTACTGGGTTAAAAATTACCAGGTTCCTACATTGGATTTTGCTTTTTTATCTTCTCTTAAGAAACAACAGTATTGCAAAGAATTGAGGGGAAAAACAACACTGCTGACACAGTAAACTAAAACACACAATAGATTACAGGTTGGAGTTGCTGTAGCATAACTTACTGTGGCTCAGTTGACAAGTGACAGCTGACCACATTCCCCATAACTCTTGCATTTGTGAAGTTAACCACGTTAGCTTTTTACAAATGGTCATCCCATTATATTTGGTTAACCTTCACACTAAATGTTTTACTTTTCAGTTGCAATACACACAGTGTATAAACCCACTTACTGTATATCAATTGACGAATAGTTAAGTTATTGAACCTTATTATCTGGACTACCTGTGACTGCTGATACATATCCTGTACTTGGGCTTCACCCCATATCCAGTAACATTAGGACGTGTGTTATGGGATAAAAAACTGAGATGAGACAGTTATCTGAGGATGGCAGGGGAGAAGACGATGCATTCATTTGCAAGCCTTATTGGGAAAACTGGTTTTGGGGAGGGGAGGAAATCTAGCCTAGACTGCACTGCTGAATAATCTTGATGTTGAACAAGAAAGCCACATTTACGTTATTCTACAAGCTAAAAACTACAACTCAGCTATGCTATGGTAAGTTTATTTAGCTGTGGTGACTTAGGAACTTTAGCAATATATACAGTGACAGGCATAATCAGAAATCAATCCAGTTTAAACTGGATTCAGTTTAATGTGAACTGGAAAAATAACTTCTTTCATTGTGAAGAAAATTAAGTTAAAATAATGCAATAAACTCTCTAGTTGCAACAGTACAATAAAGCAAGGTGTCAGTATTTAATGCCCCATCCTTAATCAGGCACTGCCAAATCAGCTGAAAGCCAAAGGCTTTCAAATCTGAAATCTGTATGTTCCACTTTGCAGCAGAATCATTTCATTATTAGTGTAATGGTGAGTTTTCCCACTCCAGTTCTGAAACATTTCTCATGAGTCTGCAATTCAAACACACAAGTCTGAGCTAAGCGCGAGAGTGGAAAGCTACTGAAATCTCCCTGAAAGAGAAGTATATTGTTAAAAAAAACAAAACAAAACAACAAAAAAAGAGCAAGCTTTTGCTTTCTCTTTGCTGAGTAACTGAGGTGTGAAAGTGGGGAAAACTTTTTTGCAAGACATTTAAAGGACTACTTTTGGTTGAAAAAAAGAATTATTGCCCCTTTAAATCTGTCTCAAATACTTGAGTTAATGAACAAAGCCATTTATATAAAGACAGGAAGTCTTCAGCATCAAGCTAGGGAAAATTTCAGACTTTAGAAGTGAAAAATCTGGTGTCAAGGACTTAACTGCTCTCTCAGCCACGCTCCCACGACCAAGTGACCCCAAAGAAGCAGTGTCCTTGCAGATTTTGGCCTAACAATAACAACTGAAAAAGTTCCCATCACATCTATTTGTAATTTTATCTGCATCAGATTTTGAGAAAGACTAAGATCGTAACTGGTCAGTTTTGACCTCAAAATACCAAGAGTAGTACTCTCATCCCATAGACTGTTACCACTGGCTTCGCATTGTCAACATTCAGGCAAAAGTGCAGAAAAAAATGGAAACACAAAAAATATTTAAATCCCTAATGGCAAAAGAAGCAGTTTTTATTAACAACTGAAATAGTTATTTAAATAAATAAAAGGCAAGGGAATAGCAAAAGGGATACAGCTGGGATGTTTATTTTACATTGAAAGATGTAGAGTTTCTGTACAGCAGAGCACAAACAGAGCATGTTCTGAGACAGGTGCTAGAGAAATAGAGTCAACTAAGCTAGAAGACAGGACAATGAACCCATGAAACATCCAAAGCTTGGAAAGATGTTTTATCCAACCCGATGAAGATGTCTTTGGAGAAGTGAAGCAAAGAAAGTTATCTGCATGAAAAGAAAAAGTGAGATAAGGTAGGAAATAAAAAAGGTGCAGTAAAGACTTCCAAAAAAGCAGCAACAGCACAGCAGAGCCCAGCATGCCAGGGCGACTGCTAGAGAAACACCACACCATGCTGGGACTGGAATGCTACAGTAACCGTCCTCATGTATCAGTAGAGTATATTTTAAAGTCTGCTTTCCATTTAGAAATATCCCAGATTGAAGAAATACTGTAACCTCTGTACACAGAGGAGGAAAAAAAAAACCATTTGCTTGACAAGCCACTGAGCAAAAGCATATGTTGGGGGCTGGCTGGAATAAAATAAATAAATAAATAAATAAATAAAAATCAAAGCATACAAGAAACAACATTAGATCTAATGGCCCTACTAAAAACTTGGGCGAGGAAGGGAAGTAATGAACAGATATAGGGATGAAAAAAAAAGAAAAAAATTAATATGGGTGCATGCAAAATACATTTCAAGCTCTGAGCAAAGCTACGCCTTTCTGGAAGCATGCTAGCTTCCAAACAGAAATGCCAGGACTAAACATCACACCTCACAAGCACTTGAGAGCCACAACTCTTCCTCTTTCCCATGCCAACTGTAGAGGGTACATGCAAGTGAAAGGTATGAGCATGGGAAGGTGGATTCAGCACAGCTGACCTCTGTTCAGAGTTTTAAGTTGATGGAAGAAGAGTCAGTTCCTATCAAACACTGCATGGACTAGTCACACCTTACAACTGATCACTCTCCTGCTTTCCTGCCACCTTATACACTCTTCAGTTTTCTCTTTATGACTAAAGTTGATACTACCACATTTTTGATATATGCAAATTAAATTACTACTACCCTCCACAAAATATGCAGAAGCAACCTACAATTCAATTGTCACTTTTATGGGTTTAAACGACAAAGCATTTTAAATCAATTTCCACACTTGTAATTTAGTGATAACAGCTGAAATTTTCAGAGCAGTTAAGGGAATTTAGATAAACACTTTCCACTGTCATTAATAGAGAATACAGCTAAATCTAAATTGTTTTGAAACTTTTACAGGAACTTTGCCAGAGAAAAACTGTGACAGCAGAAGAATACACTCTGAATGCAACACAAACCAAGGCAATTTTCTTTGGTAAACTGAACATGATGTGCCTGGTAGACAATGCTTGAACAGAGGTGAACTGAAAGGATAAACACAGAGCTACAAACCAAGGGCAACCACAAGACACAAGGATTGCAGATAGAGAATGAAAGAGTAAACACAAGCTTATTACGCAGCTTACAAAATCACCATGAGTATTTACCAGGCTAGGCACAACACTCACCCACACTCTGCCACGGTAAAGAAATTGTTCATGGTATTTTGTACACCTAGTCTCACTAAAGGAATGCGTCTCCCACTACAGAGGGAGCATAATTTCACAAGGCCGGAACCGCGCAATCAATGAGGGCAGGGAAGCAGGTGCAGGCACAAGCTGGGAAGACATTTACATGGAAGTCATATCGTTGAGAGCGTGGTCCAGCTCCTCACTGATGGCTTTGTACTTCAGTTTCTGAGCATATAACTCATCTAACATTCCCCCAAGGCAAGGCAGAGGTGTGCAAGGAAATGGAGTGTGATCACGGGATGGAAGGTGAAGGTGGTGGTATGGGATACCATCCAGAAGCCATAGGAAAGGGGAAGAGCGCACAGAAAGAGGTGTTGCGACAGACAAAACAAAAATTTCAAAATTAGAGAATAATAAAAAAAGAAAATCAACAGTGATTAGTTTTATGCAACAAGTTCATTAACTGCACTGCCAGCGGGGCAACCTGTAATACAAAGAAAATGAAGGAAAGAGT